CTTTGTAGGATATTATCATGATCCCCTCAGAAACATCGAAATAGAATTTCGACCAGAAACTTCGCATGTTTAAAGGCCACAATAAGAAAACTTTATGGTAAAAATATCAGCACGTTTTTGGTAGCTCTTTTACCGACACATGGGCATGTGAACAATTAGGCGACTTGAATACCCTCGAAAAAGATACAAAAAATGTATCTTGTGGTAGTGTTCACAGGTAGGTGCAAGGGAGATGAAAATTTGAATTTAAAGTCTTCTCTGCATGGGCTTTCATTTAGAAGACAACAACCTAAGAATTGAGAAGAAATTCTATGTTGTTGTCGTTAGAATCCTATGAAAATTTCGATGGGATTGGTCTTGTTCAAAAGGTTTTTGCTACTAAAATTCAAAATCACACATCTTTGAAAGCACCATTTGATGCACTTTGAGGTGCTCTTTCAAATAAGACTACTTTCAAATGTTTCTGTCTCACTGATCCGACCAGCTTCACTTATCCTCCGGAACATGTTTTCCGGAAATGACCTATAACGGGCCCAAAATTATCAGAGGATAAGACACTTTCAGTAGCATGAAAAGATAGTTTGTGACCGATCGATAGTATCTATGATGAAAAAATCTCTGTTATAACTCTTATCGTTCTTTAGAAAATGAAAATTTACTGAAAAGTATTACAATGTAAGGTACTCCAAGTATAGCATAGTAACAGTGCTTGTAGCATTGATATTTAAAGAATGCTCCTATGTTTAAACTGAAACTTTCAGTTTATTCCTGACTTAGATGCACATACCTACTATAAAAATATCGGCTAAGTCGATCATATCAATTGACCACGATTGGTCATCCCTATGATGCAATTACTCTAGTGGTCAATGAAAGTTTTGACGAAAACTTCTTCAACAATCCAATATTTGGCTCATGCATTCTCGAATCTGAGATTCACTCAGGCGAATCTAAGATTGGATGCTGCATAAGTATGTACACTTTCTTTTGTTCTGTAACCAAACGCATGCATATATGTAATACACGAACATTTTTTTCTCGTTCTGTTGAATGAAGGAGCATTCGTTTATTTTTTTAGCTTCTCGGCGCATTATCCTCCTTTAACCAGAGTAAATAACCATTATTTGCTGCAGAACACAAAAAAAAAATTTCTGTCTAGCTTCTGAGTGTGCTAGTTCGGTCTATCGAAACACGCACATGTACACTTGTTTTGTTTACTTTGTTGAAGGTGAGCCATATATATATAGGACCTTTTCAGTATTGCAATCATCGCATATTATCGATTTTTTACCACACATAGAACTCGTCAAGTTCTATTCTTTGGCATCCAGTAAATTTCTTTTCGTATAAGCACAAAGTAAAATTTTCTATTCGACAGTTTTTCCTAAAGGAATCAAAGCTGACAAAGACATAGATCAAGTTATTAGTCAGCGATCCAACTCATCTTTGGTCCATAGGTAAGGCATTCTTAGACTATTGATTGAAAATACTAAACACACCGGGTGTTTCACCCATGTAGAAAAAAGATGAAAAAAATCTGATTGTAATCGATTTTAATCGATTTTTTTGTTGGTTAACAATTGATTACAATCAGATATTTTCCATATTTATTTACAAGGTTACCGTTGAATCAATTTTCATCTACTTTGGACAGTCCAAAATTAGTGTCAGAAGTACTTTCTTTCCTTACAGAGATCTTTGAAACATTTTCTTTTCTTATACAGTCATAGAGAAAGCAATTCTCTATTTGTATGTTTTATTTGATCAATCTTCACTTATTATCAAAAAGAAAAAAATTTCGAAAAAAACTGCTTCTGTGTAAAACTAGCTGGTAACGTTCGATCATATTATCATTCATGCGTATTTTGATTTTTTTCCTTTGTTCCTCTCTTCTTCTTTCTTTTATCTTATTTTTCTCGTCTCTTCTAATCACTAGTCGTCTATAGATTTTACAGTGTACAAAAAAAATACTACTGGTAAAACAGAAAATAAATACAGAAACAAGTTCAACAAGTGTTCATTTTACCAAATGTTCAAAATAATCACCTTGTTTATTTACACACAATTGCATTCTTTAAAGCCATTTATAGAAGATTTTTCTATATTCCTTTTTATTTAATGAGTACATGAACTCGGTCACAGCATCATATAATGATTCTGCATCGCTTTGATCGATCAGATTTCGTTTGATTAAATCGAATAACCAAAATTCACATGGTCCAAAATCTAGAGAATTATGTGGATGTGGTATTATTGCAGTACCTTCCTATTCCAGATAAATGAACACATATTTATGAAAATGCGGCCTTTCATTGTTATGGTGAATTGTAATATCTCGGATACTATATGAGGATTTTTGATTTTATTCATGAGAGGTCAAAAACAATCGTTAATATAATACTGGTGGTCAATAGTTTGTCCTCGTTCCATATGATGAATAAGAACAAAACCATTGAACTTGAAAACGGTGAAAATTAAGGTTCTTGGAGTAAACTGACTGCGTCGAACTGCAGTAGTCACCAGTTATTATACCACAAGAACGCCATGTTCCTTCTTTCAATTTTGATTGCGTATTCGAACTCTTTCAGCCCATTAAAAATTAGACAGATGCTTCGGTGTGTAATGAGGAATAGTTTTCATAAGCGATAAATGACAGGAGACGATTGGTTGAATGGTGCCGTAACTTAGATTAATTGTCTCTTACACCTCTTCTATTGTAATATAAGGATTATCATTGATAAGAAGGCGAATCTGTTCGATATTTTCAGAGGTTATTTCAGTAAGAGGCCTTACAAGTGGTGTTTCATCTTCAACTTCTTCTCAATCTTCAGAAAATCATTTAGACCATCTTTCAACTGTTCTAAGAGCAAGAGCTTGATCACCATAAACAGAATACAATTCATAATGAATAGATCTTGCTTAAATGTTAGTTGCAGTACTCACTTTAATATAGAAGCACTTTTTTTGACTTTCTTGAAAATACAAAAATAAACGATACGTATACACCAGAGATTGATGTGACATGGGATCAATCCCGCTCGGCTTCGTCCCGTCCTGGGACAGGACGGGACAGGGCATAGAGCGAAAGATTTCGGGAGACGAGATAGGCAGGACTCAATGCAATTCTTCCTTAATTTTATTACTGCAAAAAACATTTCGTCCATACCGCGCGTTATAAAAGCGACTAATATTTTTTTTCGTTCAAGTAGAAGAATGAGTACCAAAGCAGTCGACTATTTTGTAAGGAGACATTGAAAAGGAAAAAGAGAAAAATCCACTATCAGTATTAACTCAAATGAAGTGAATGTCGACCGACAGATAAGACAACGCCCATTATTTAACTCATCTCATATGGAAAGTGATTAAAATAGTGATATATGCATATCATTCATTATTCTGTGCCTTGTCGATACGTTCATCCATTTCGAAAGTTGTTGCTTTTGATTCATATATTTTCATGGATTCAACATCAAGGAAAGCCGATCGTCGTAGCTATTCTCCATGCTCTCGTATTATTTCGTCAACATCAAGCATTGATCTCACCTCTTATACTTCAACGCCATCAACCCTATTCGTACTTCAAATGATACGAATTATTCTTGTGCACAAATTGAAATTCTTCTCAAAACAGAGAAAAATTGTTTTGTCGTTATTAACAATACAAAAAAAGTCGGCTCTCTGTTGGCAAGTATTTGGATTTCCTGCAATTATTAACCCTAAGAGTGGTCCTCCAAAACGCATGATAAATTTTTCTCTTGCCAGAAATGCTACAAAACTTACCCATTCATGCCCAACAACATCTACTATTGAAAAAGATGTTTGTGGGACTAGCCGGGACGGGATAGGAGTATAAATCTCTATGTGGAACGGGAAGGGGCGGGAGATGGTTTCTGAATAGGTCCCGGCGGCTCTTTTTGGGACAGTTTTTTCATAATCTCGTCAGTCTCTGGTACATACAAAACAAATAAGACGGGCGTCTTGATGCATAAGTATGTATGAGCCGTTACTCTCCAGAACAGACGGAAAAAAAAGATAAAAGAAAGGAGAAGAGAAAAAAAGAAAAAAGTCAATACACGTGGATGATGATACGATCTAATGCTACACGCTAGTTTTACACAAAAACAGTTTTTATCGAAATTTATGTATTATGATATTAATTGAAGATTGATCAAATACCACAGAAAAATAGAGAATTGCTTTCTGTCACTGCATAAAAAAAGAAATTTTTTTAAAGCTTTCTATAAAGAAAGAAAATACCTCCGCTACTACTTTTGGATTGCCCTATGTAAATCAAAATTTTGTTTTCTTTCATAATTTTAATGCAAGTTATTTTTATTTTTCAAATCTCCCGATAGACATATTAGTAAATCTATTAGGTTATCATATTTTGATGGGATTAGTGCGCTATTTTTTAGAACCAAACTGATCCCATCACTGGTGAGGTCCTTGTTTCGTCAATTGGCCCAGAAGAATAGTTGCGGAATCACACTTGATCACAATAGTGAAAATATATCAGACAGTGGCGAAAAATTATATTTGTGGGATGCGGGTATGAATGAAGGTGTGCGCATTTCTGTTTCTCACTCACCTACACATACCCCCATCATCAAATAGTTTGATGCAGCCTGAAAGCTGCATTGCCATTTTAGAAAAGAAAATAGTTTAATTTGTGACAGAAGAGTAATTATCTAACTATTACACGTTCAATAGTGAATGATTCAATTAATTTTTCATTCGTAAATTTCACGTGTTGTTTTTTTTCTGAATGAAACTGAAAACATGCTAATAGTTCTAATAGACCAGTTGCCTATGAAACAACTATAGTTCTAAAAATGTTTCGCCTTTCAGTTTGCAATCATCAACAGCGACAAAACAACGCAAATATTTCCATATCGAATTAAGATTTGTTTTGTTATTTCATCGAGCTTTATTCGCATTGTAATTCAGTGTTTGAAAACTTTAATTAACTGTTTCTTCATCACGATTTAGACAAAACACGTATGGGTTGTCTCACCATATACGTAGCTTGGCTTGTGCTTGCGTTTATGTCCTATGAAGGATTGGCTGCGGCCAATTTACAACATATACAAGAATTACTTGAAACTATTCGACACGCTGCAGATGCTTGGAAGCTCCTTAAAGATCTTCCCCCAACTCTTGCTGAAAGTTTTTCATCTATAATTTCGAAACACGGTACAAAAAATACAGAGAAAAGTTCGTATGATTTCGTCGTGGATTTAACTCGTCCTACAGATATATATGGTGCTCTAAAAGCATATCCATTATCATTTCCTATAGGAAAACAGTCTTATGATAATAAAACAAAAGACTCTTATAGTCGATTTATTATCAATGTGGTTGGTCGATACAACGTTGGTAAAACGTATGTTTTACGTCTTTTAGCTAATATTAATCTCGGACATTCATTCACTGAAAGAACAAATGGCATCAGTGTATCATTACCACCGCTAAACAAGACAAACAATGTACCGATGGCACTGATTGATACAGCTGGTAGTCGCACACCAGTTGAATATAGTTCGAAAACATTTCACAGACTATCCTACGAAAAGCAACTGTCCGATTCATTTGTACAAGAAATAGCATTTAATTCAGCTGAAATATTCGTACTCGTAGTTAATCAATTAACATTAGATGACGAACTATATTTGAAAACATTAAATAAGCGCTTACAAGAAAAAGGTTATAGAGATAATGACATAAAACAAAGATTATTGATATTGCATAATTATTTTAATTTGAAAGCAATTGAAGAAGTTGAACGAGTCGAAACTGCTGAACTAAAAAACGTATTTAATGCTGTAAAACAACCGCAAGGATATTGGCTTAGTGAATATTTTAAGCATTTTGTACTTGCCGACAGTAATAGTAAAGCTGGTAAGCATTACAATCAGAAATCTATTGCAGAAATCCTCAAAATGATCCAGGGTGCACCAGCTGCAAAAGAGAAAGATGTACTCACACGAATAATAAAAGAAATTGAGCAACTATTAAATAAATTTTTAATAGAAAAATCGCCATCGATATCTAAGCAGCAAGAACCAAATAACGAAACGGCCGTTGGATATGTTGCAGCTAAAATAGAACTGGACTATAATAAACAACATAAAATTCAATTAACAGATAAAAGACAGATTAATGTCAGTTTAGAAATTAAAGAATTAGTTTTGGATAAATTACATTCATGGTATTTTATTTGTTCACGGGAACCGTTAAGAAACGATGTCATCTTATCGAAGAATTTAAAATTTAACGAAGATGGTTCTATTTATATTGACTATTCATCTCAGTTCATACCTGATATGCAGGTTGCCATTATTAATCAAGATGAAGATGTTGGCATCAAAATAGAATGTCCTTCGTGCTCATCAAATTTCACAGTGCGCGTTCGGCAGGGTTCAATTATTGTGCAAGCTGAAAAAATATCAGATATGACATTGAAAGACTATGTTAATACAAGGCGTACTGGAAAATTCGAAGTGCAAATTCCTATTAGCAAGTTAGACGAAGATAAAGTATACGATTTTCCATCCTTGAAGAAAGAATTTTCCAACGGTGTCATTATTATAACTATACCCAAGCTTCGAGATGAATTTTAATAGCTTTCTTGATGAAAAACTTTAGTTTTGCTGCGAATATATTGTGTGATTGCTCTGCTGAATCGATTTTAGTTTCAAGGGTTACTTTTTTTTATTAATCGGCGTGGATGTGGTCGTTGTTAATATTTTAACTAACCATTTCATCCACAATCTGAGTAAATCTATATATCAAAAGAACTAACTAATATTCCAGGTAATAAATTGTTTCAAATCTGAGAATAATTGTACTTAATCCTCAATTCGCATCATTATTACTACAGTATGTATCAGATTAAGGTAAAGTTCTTTGTACAATGCCTCTAACGAGCATTTTTTGAGTATGTGATGGTGGAAAAAATAATATTGACTGTTACATTACGTTTAAAAGACATAAAAAAAGAATAAATTATTTCCTATAAATGGACAACTGATACCATCAACAATGAAATCTAGAAGAGAGGTTGAAGAAATAGCAACTATAAAAGGTACTTTTGTATACTATGGAGTAAAGCATAATCATTCCTTTTCACCTCAACAATA